TTTTACTGCATAGGCTGTTTACACCTTCAAAGTCTTTCCTCCTCCACAACTAACTGCCTGCGGTTATTACTCAAATCTCTTAGATGGCAGAAGACATTTTATCACTTTTCTTGTGAGGAAACTAGAGAACATGATAGTCATGAATCCGGTAACTCTAGTAACACACCTTTGAAAGTAAGGACAACAGCAATTTAAATATTTATCTCTGGTTTAAACACGGAACTTAAAAACAAAACCCAGTACTATTTCCCTCCTTCCCTCGGTCCTCCCCATACCTGATTCCTCCTGTTCCCATCCCCAACCCACATCCAGACTCCATCTCCCCCCTACATAACCCACCTCCCACTTCCCCACCCTGTCCACCCGTGAAGTCTATTCTATTTTCCGTTCTCAGTGAGATTCACATGTCCCGACTTGGGCCCTACTCATTACTTAGTCTCTTTGGGACTGTGAATTGTAGCAGGCATCCTGTGCTTTATGGCTTATGTCCACTTATGTCCATACCATATTTGTCTTTCTGGGTCGGGTCACCTCACGCAGGGTGATCTTTTCTAGTTCCATCCATTTGCTTGCAGATTTCATGATGTTTTAATAGCTGAGTAATACTCCATTGTGTGAAGGTATCACATTTCTTTATCCAGTCTTCTGTTGAGAGACATCTAGGTTATTTCTGGCTTCTGTCTAGTACGAATAAAGCTGCTATGAATATAATCGAGCAAATTTCCATGTGGTATGGTGGTCATCTTTGGATACATGCCCAAGAGTAGTAGAGGGGGAGCCTACCCCTGACACTGCCTAAAGGGCCAGGAAGCAGAGCCTTGGCTGTCCAGGAACTCTCTTTAGACCAGTCTGACCTTGACCAGACTGGCTTGCCTCTGCCTCCCACGTGCTGGGATTAAAGGTGTGTGCCGCCACCACCCAGCTAATAATCATTCTTAGTGGTTCAAGAATTTTATCTTTTTCTGAGGCACTCACAGTCTAAGAAAAACGGATGAACATTTAAGTTAATGGTTCTAACAAAGCATAAAGGACCATTCAAGAGTTCCAAGGATCTCTCTACTCATGTCCTGCTTGCTTGCTTGTGTGTGTGTGTGTCTGTATAAGTGTACGAACACATGCACGCACGCACACACACGCACGTGTGTCTGTTCTCCAAGCAGTTCTCTCTTTTTTATACTAAAAAATTCTCTAGATAGCTCATCTCCTGCAGAGCACAGGTCCAGTCATTTATTTTAC